AAGATTAATTATTTGAATATTGATCATAATATACCAAAAAACCTTTGAAACGCAGACTATAATTACTCTCAAATTAATAATGAATATTTTTAACAATGAAGATTAAATTTTTTGCAACGTACAAGGATCCGCGCTTAAGGGAGTGCGTGAGACTTGAAATGTGCATAAGTAACAATTGGGAAATTTCTCCACATCAATGAATTGGGATATTTCACCACTTCAATGTGTTGAGATATTTCACCACATCAAGGTGTTGAGATATTTCACCACATCAACGTGAATGCAAAATATTTATTAATTTATCAGAAAAAAATCGGACGGCTCAGGACTACATCGGCTGGTGTGGCGCGACCAGCTCAACATTTTTAAAAAAATCGGTGGCTGTTGGCTGGCGGCTGACACGCGGCGCGGCTTGTTCAGACCTCTAATAAAAACCAATGACGTATTATAAATTTAATTCAAAGGCAATATGAACCTTTGTTTAAAATTTACAATTTTTTCTTTTTTCAAGTCTTATTGTTATGTCTCTGGAATAAATCTCCCAAGTATTTGTTCATTCAACTAAAATATGTCTGTTAATTTAATTTGATTTGATTACTGATGCTATCATATAAAATCGTCAAAAATGTCTTTCTAAAATTGCTACAATTTCCAATGAAATCTTTCTACAATTGTTTAAAATTTATTTCCTTCTCTTCAATATGATCCTGTAGAATGCAATCGTTGCTACTTGAAATTTAAATGAGGAAGAATACTTCAGATTTGCTAGTACTTGTTGGCGTCACCCATCGATCGTTCCCCATGGCATGGCAGGGGCCGTCCAGTAGCATTGTTAGGCCGATTATTAGGCCGTCGTCGTCGTCATCTAACAAGCTGTGCGCATATCAAGTGATGATATCCCAAGCGTAATGTTAGTCTCTGACAATGACGAGATAGATCTGCCGCCGCCGGTAATGCAACACCCTCGTGATACAAACCGCCTGTTGGCGAGGCGCTGATATAAAAACCACCACCACCACGCGCACCACCGGCGTCGACGTACAATTTTAATGAAGTGATTATAATTTTCATTAATGGCTCCATTAGACGTGATATTAATGCGCGGCTCACTCTGTAAAAAGATCCGGCGCGCGGCAAGAGCAGGAAAAGAGCAGCGCTCGGGAACAAAGGATAATAACAATTTTTCAAACCGCACTCATCCATAGACACACTGCGAGACCGACCGGCCTGCGCCGGCTAATGCATTTGTCTCACGTATCCAATTTCCTGGCGAAAAATACGCACACGAAAGAACACACGAAAGAGAGAGTCGGAGGCGCATAATGATGTCTCTCGTTAAATTCTGTCCTCGGGGACGAAATCAAATTCGGGCCGCCTTGAGGATCCTCTGAAAGTGTCAGATTTTCAAACCAAACATGTCTATTTTACTTTAATGATCAGTTTTCTGATATTTTAGCTAAATTATTTAGCACATTTTTTTCTCGTCTTCAGTTACAGAAAAATAAAAATAAATTATATTTTACTAAGAAAATTTATGCCCCTTGAGATTTTTCAAATTTTATTTTTATATTTTAAACCATTGGCCAATAGGAAATAAAAATATATGAAATCAAATCAATAGTTTGAACTTGTCAAAAAAATTATTTTTTGCACTAATCTACAAAACCAAGGAAAATAAAAAAACTTAAGAAGGCCAGCCGGGTGATGAGAAACTAACTCTCAGCCCTGACGCTCGCGCCCTCTAATTGTGTATTCAATTTGATAAACAAAGCAGAGAGGAGATGAATGGCTGCCAGCGGAGAGATGCACCCTGCATGTGTCCATCATTTGTCAATGTCTCGAGTCGTGTTTCACACAAGGGTGCGTGCCGCTCTCTGTGGTTAGGCTTAACCCCATCGCTGCACACATTCCCTGCGATCCGCCAACACAACTCCTCTCTCTCTCTCTCTCGCTCATCTGACGGGAATTACTTAATATTCCTGATGGCGAACGCGCGTCACAGAATTCTATGAATCCAGCAAAGCGGTGGCGGCGATGAACACGCACGTTATTCTCGTACGTTCCAACGGCTACTGCTCTGTAATAATGCACGCCCGCGCGGTTGGATTTAATGTTATTTGCAGGTGATCTGCGTGTTTCCGAATTTCGCACCTAATCTGCAAATATACTCGCACGTTCAAATGACGCCTCTCTACGAATGCTAAATCGATGTGAGCCGCAGTCACACAAAACGGCTCCTGTATAATTTCATATTAGACACAAATTAAAAATATTTAGTTTACAAAGTATTAAACAGTTTAAATTAAATTATAGAAACTTTAATGACAATTTTTTTTTAAAATTTATATTATAGAAATATTCAGCATATTTTTCTTTTTCATAATTTATTTTAAAGTTATAATTTAAAATAAGTGATTAAAACAATTTGTATCATACAGATAAGAACAATAGCAAAATTTTATTTAAAATTAATACATAGAACAGTATCTTCTGCAATAAGCAATTCATATCAGATTAATTTAATTAAGTTGTTTTCACGGTATTTTTTAGAGGCATTATAAAATTGCAGCAAATAAATAATTAAAATAATATAATAGCCACGACGATTGTGTCTTCCTTGAAACAGTTGAAAACTGATTGAATCATTAAAATTGCAAGTTCAAGGTCAGGAGATATCGATGCAATGGAGACGTTATTTCCACCGCATTTTCACAAATATTTATTCGTCTTCTCGTTGTTCCATTGTGCACTCTCGCCGGCGCTTTATTTATTTACCTCGGCACGTGACTCGCCGCAGGAGATGACGCAACCCCTTGATACCTGCCGTTCACCCCATGGGGTGTATCGGCGCAATAAATATCGCCACCGGGTCCGCAGTTTAGACGGGGAATTGCGCCCGTCGGGGGGCCGCATGACTTTCTACCGTAATTGGCGTGCTCGGCCAGGGACGAATTAATCTCAACTTTTTTTTCTGCAGCAGGCACATCAAATCAAATATGGAGGAGGAGGAGGTGAACGGAGGTTGTACTAAAGCCACAACACTAATTAAAAATAGGTTCTCCCTTCAACACTGTAATAATTTTTTAATAAAAAAAATATTTCAAATGTGTAAACCCAATGTTATCAGTTTCAATTCTTACAACTCCAGGTGAAGCAATAAAATTATTCATTACATTAACTTAAAATTTGATGAAAATAGTTTCAGTATTTTTAAGTTCATTAAGTAAATATCATGGTTTCAAGCATGAGAAGCCTTAGGGCTGTTCATCATATATGCAGCAAAAGATTCTTATATCGATTAATGGTAAAAATTTAATTTCATTTTATTAAGAAAAAAGATCAATTAATAGTTGATCTTTTAATATTTTTCCAATGAAGATAAGTTAAAATTTTATTTTATGCTGCCTATCATGAAGAATCCCAGAAAAAAACAGTAAAATCACAAGGAGAGGGATCCTTTCCATCACGATGCACTTTTGCATCCTGCGCTACATGCATGACAAACGGGTTGCATACATTCGATGGCTCCTGTCATTTTTTCTTCAGTGACAATTTTTTATTTCTTTTATAATTGAAAGCACTTTCAGTGAAGTATTTTTGTTCGTAGATTAAAAATTAAATTTCTTCGACTTTTTAACAGGATTTTATTTTAAAATTTATTTTATGCAAAATGTGAAACAATTTGTTCTAAAACTAGAATTGGAATTGGCTGAGAGATGTAAAAGTCTGATTTTATTTATTCTCTTTCGGAAACTTCACTCGACTTTTTTATCAGAGCAAACAAACAAACAAGAGTGAAAAGTTCCGCCGCATAGTGCGCCATTCATTTTTTTTTTTTTTTTTTTTACTCGAGTCACTCATTCACCCGAGGAACGTGCACGCTCCATTCGTACATATTTACATAAATCTCGAGCTCAAAAACTCGGCGATATTCTTTTCCAACGGAGCGAACGAAAGCAGCGAAAAGGAAACCGCGAGAAAAGCACATAAATTTCAGGCAGTGGGGAAAAAAGCGAGTGCAGAGACGGTGTGCTTTTTTTGCAGAAGTGGCCGGTGTTGCACAAGAGCAAGCAGCCGCCACAGGATAGGGTTGCATCCGATTAAACGATTAGGTGGTGAGCAGCGAGAGCACCGAAATGGCTCGCCGCTATCTGGGAGTATCTCCGAGTTGCTCCGCCTCACATTTCGAGTGTGGATGCAGCAGCCGCCGAGCGGTTCATTCTTCTCTGGGGCCCCCCTCTTTGATGACGTTGATGCCGCCATGCTGTCGTGTTACTACACCAGCCAGCCAGAGAGAGAGAGAGAGAGAGAGAGAGAGAGAGACTCTCTCTCTCGCTCAAACATTTCTCGATTCACTCACCTGCCTCTGCTGCCGGGCTAATTTTCATTGCCAATTAAGTCCTGAGAAATGACGGCGGCGAAAAATGGCAAGAGTGATGGACGCCGGGGATGCCGCCGGACAATGGCCCCTCGCACGTCCCGAGCAGCGGCGCTGGTAATTAATGAGAGAGAGACCGAGACAAAAAGAGTGAGGGAGGAAAGGAAGGCTTTGTGCCGCTGCTGGCTTTTTGTGCTGCTTACCTTGCGCCTAACCGCAGCATCCCCCGAGGCGGCCCATTCATTCTGCACCAACAACAATCGCGTTGCATTGTTGAATTGCACTGTGTACGTCCTTTGTCTGGCAGACCAAAGTGGCCGAATCGCAGTTGCTGTGAGGTGGGCAGGTGCTTTTGCTGGCAGACGTGCTGATAAGTCTAATTAATGCCTCTGTTTTAAATTTGAAATACTTAATCGAAAAATTAATTTCAAAACTGATACTATTTCCAGTGTATTAAAAGTTTAAATTTTTTACTCAAAAAGAAATTTAATAATTTAAGACATAATTCATTGATCTATTTTTGCTTTTTGTTGCTTCCCTTTCACTTCCTTATATAATTTAAAAATATATATTTTAGACTGAAATGATTATATAAAAATGAAACTCGCAGCACGTATATCTTTTGTTTTAAATTATTTAAATTGTTTATTATTCAATTTGTGAATTGAGGTACACATTTTTATTTCTCATCCATCTTTTTTGTTTTGTTTTTTTAAATTATAAATTTGCACATTGAAACAACATAGATAGCACTCTCTCTCATCCTTAAAGTTAACAAACCGACTATTTTTCACAAACAATAATCTTGGCAATGTCCCTATGTAAATTTTTACACAATAGCTTGTTAGGTAATAGCGTACTTACATAACAGAAACAAAATTCGAAATCCGTCTCGAGTAGTTTTCGTTTTCTCGCGTTTAATTACAATCAGTAGCGATGGACAATACAAAAAATTATCCACGGCTGCGGCGGCGTCAGAGATTTCTCTACATATCATGTACATAATAATATATGACAATAATAATAAACTGGGCTGTTTTTCACTTGCATTTTTTTTAGAGTGTGTGGCTCGTCTTAAGTAAAATCTTCACCTGAGTGTTTCGGAGATTTCGGAGAGAGAATAATTATATAACAATTGAAAATGAAAAGAAAAAGAAATTAAAACAAAAAATTGAATTCGGATAATTTCCTGTGACGGTAAAAAAGCTCCACGTATACGGCACAACACTGATGATGATCGCAAAAAGAACAGGACAAGGAGAGTCGTCTCGAGTGTAGTTTCGTTTTCTTTCTTTCTTTCTTTCTCGTAATCGTCGCAAAGCTATTTTTTCGAATATCAAAGTCAAAGAGCAGGAGATAAAACGTCGCGTGGAAGATTAAACATGATGATGATGATTTCAGCAAACTCGCATCCTACGGTCCTACACACGCCTCATCTTCGCTTCTTATTAAATTCTTCCGTAAATACAGTACAAGAAGTACAGCAGACGAACAGAAACGAACAAAACTCTTGCTTGCCTGAGGTACCTTGGTTGTTGGTTTCCGGCCCTTTTCCCACAAAGGTCGCTTTTGTTTTTGCACTTGAAATCTCACGTGCGGGGCCGATGCTTTTTTTTATCACACGCGAAGGACACCGTCAGATAGAAAATCCAATTCAGTGGGGCTGGGTACGATTTTCGTTTGTTTTCTTCCATTTCTCATCTCGAATGATGAATTTCGCGATCTTAACACACTCGCGGATTTCTTGCTTCTTCCACTATATACACGAGAGGGGTGAGAAAATTCAGCCCCCTGCCGTTATACACTGTCTTGTACGTCTAAGTCGGAGCAGCAGTCTCTATTAGGATTTAATCAACGCTTACAGAATTAAAACGATCCGTCCTCATGCACTCTTCATCTCTTGCTGGCTGCTTTTTTAAAGAGCGTCCGTTGCACAACAATCCCATTCGCTCTCTTGCGCTATTTTTTTTTCATATACGATACAAACACTCGCACTTAATTTTGTCCGACCGCTTCTATTCGATTTCGAAACGATTTTTCAATTGTAATTGTTTTTTCGTTTTTAATTTCGCACTCATTCTTCCGTATTTGTGAGTGGGGTGGGCGTGTCTTGTGTAGCATACTTTGGATTTTTCCTTAAGTGTGAAAATTGTGTGTGTTTATTATGTGTGTGTGTGTGTGATTTCCAAGGTGTAATTGTGTGAGAGGGTATGTTTTCATTTTCAATAAGAAGTGTTGTGTGTGTCACGTGTAATATCACTACGTAGTCCGCTTTGTACCGAAGATAAAAAGAGTCGAAATCGGTGGCTCAGCGAGGATTTTTCTTGCTTCTGCATTTTTCTTGCTTGTCGACGGGCTATTTACATATGTATACGCGTACAGAGTACAAAACACAAAACGAAACACGTCACTCTTGAGCGAGGAGATCGGAGGAAATAATAAAAATTATCGTATCACGTGGTATCTATGACGTCGTGGTCACATTCTTCATCTTCTCTCATAAATATTATTATTCATATTTTCCATTCTTCTTCATTTATTTATTTTTGTAGTAGTAAAAAACACGGTGGCAAGTCCCTGGCTCTGCGTGGCCCGCCGCCCTCAAGGGTCGCCCTTCATCTCGACAGCAGTGCTGGCGCCTGCCTCGCCGGAGCGGGCCGAGTCGGAACTCATTTGGCAATAACTGCTGCAACAAACAAACCAAACAAGATATTCATTAGAAACAAAGTTATTGAAAAATAAAAACAATGATTGCATGCTTGTGATGTTGAGAATATCAAATTGCATAAGGCACTTTTTTTTTTAATCGGCCACACTTTTGGCAAGGGTCAACCGATTTGAATGAAACTTGGCAGGTCGGTTGCTCTTAGGGTGTAAACAAATAGTTTAGAAGGATTTTTGAAAATTCTCAAAATTGCCTATTTTACAGGGGCTCAAAGTTGCTGATTTTGAAAAATGGCGTTTTCAAAAATCGAAAATATCTCAGCTCCTGTTGCAGATAGCGCATAAGTTTATATAAGAAAAATTATAGGGAATTAGACGCCCTACAACTTTGCTATAGTGACCAAGGTCGTAGGTCAAACCTGAAGGTCATTTATTTTTTGGTCATTTTTTTCAGGCTCTACCAAAGTACCAAGGCAATAAATTTTTTTGATTCCAAAATAGCCAAAAGTTGCTCCAGTTAGTAATAAACAACATATCAAAATTTGGTGATACTTATTTTTTTCGTTTTTGAGATATTCCGGATCAAAGGGCAAAAAACGTGGTTTTCCGAGCGTTTTTTGTGCAAAATTTATTTTAAACCTCCATAACTTTTTTCCTGTTAGAGTTAGGATTAAATGTATAATGACAAAAAAATAATTGCCTTTAATTTTTCTTCCAGATCATGTATCACACATGGTGATCAGGTCACAAAAGGGCATTGACCCCATGGTGACCTGTGACCTTTTTGAATTTTTTTACGTGTGTGACACATGGATGGAAAGAGGATGTCAGCAGGAGCATTTTGGTACCCGGATTTTTGTTCTAGCATCATTACAAGTGAAGTTATCATAGATTTTGTGCAGCAAAAGTTGGAATCGGATGAATAAATTATTTAAAAATAGATGTAACTTCACATCTATTGATGCTAGAACAAAAATCCGGGTACCAAAATGCTCCTGCTGACATCCTCTTTCCATCCATGTGTCACACACGTAAAAAAATTCAAAAAGGTCACAGGTCACCATGGGGTCAATGCCCTTTTGTGACCTGATCACCATGTGTGATACATGATCTGGAAGAAAAATTAAAGGCAATTATTTTTTGTCATTATACATTTAATCCTAACTCTAACAGGAAAAAAGTTATGGAGGTTTAAAATAAATTTTGCACAAAAAACGCTCGGAAAACCACGTTTTTTGCCCTTTGATCCGGAATATCTCAAAAACGTAAAAAATAAGTATCACCAAATTTTGATATGTTGTTTATTACTAACTGGAGCAACTTTTGGCTATTTTGGAATCAAAAAAATTTATTGCCTTGGTACTTTGGTAGAGCCTGAAAAAAATGACCAAAAAATAAATGACCTTCAGGTTTGACCTACGACCTTGGTCACTATAGCAAAGTTGTAGGGCGTCTAATTCCCTATAATTTTGCTTATATAAACTTATGCGCTATCTGCAACAGGAGCTGAGATATTTTCGATTTTTGAAAACGCCATTTTTCAAAATCAGCAACTTAGAGCCCCTGTAAAATAGGCAATTTTGAGAATTTTCAAAAATCCTTCTAAACTATTTGTTTACACCCTAAGAGCAACCGACCTGCCAAATTTCATTCAAATCGGTTGACCCTTGCCAAAAGTGTGGCCGATTAAAAAAAAAAGTGCCATAAACTATTTAAGTTAATTTTACGATTAAATTTAATCATCACTTCATATTATTTGTACTGTAAAAAAATAATAAAATATACTATAGTTGTTTTAAAATTATATTTTACAGTTTATATTTTTAAATTTAAATTAATATTCAAGCTATTTTTGCCTTTTTAGAGAACCAGCTTATTTCAGGATTTATATTTATTTATTTTTTTGATATTATATTTGGACATGTTGTAAATTATTGGATTAGTACATATTGCCAGAGAAAGGTGATGATATCTTTGCTACGAGGAGTCATGTTAATTATCATAATTCGATATTTTAATATATAATTGATAAAAGCATATACGTATTATAAACAACAAATAATTATTTAATGAAAGTGCTTCGTTTCATAGTGGAATTGTTTAATAATTAAAATTACTCATATTATTGATCAAGAATATTTGAGTCTTTCTATGAATAGTCAAGTCGATTTTGAAACACTTTCATTTAAAATTTTTACTTAAATCTTACAATAAAGATTAAATTGAATTTTTTTCTTATCCTCAAATCAATATAAAGTACAAAGCGAAATAATTTTAGTGTTTTTCTTGGCTTAAAATCAATTTACTTTTGGTTAATCCCTGCTAATGAGGAGCAGGTACTCGTTGTCAGCCTTCTGCGCGATTATCAGAAAATAATTAAAGAGGAAGGGTACAAATTTAATGATCACCGTCGCGGATCCCACACGCTTAATGATTCGCTCTCAACACATAAAAAACGGCTTCTCTCTCTTTTAGTATTTTTCCATTTAATAGTCATTTGTAGTTGAGATTAGTCGGCGGGGAGAAAACCAGTCCCAAGCTTAATTAGCGCTAGCCGGCTGGATCGCCGTGAGAAAATAATAAGAAATGAACTGAAAAGAGTTTCTCTCGGGCTAATCAGCTCGTTGGGGTTCGCGCGGCCAACAACAAAGGGCGCCTCCTTCGTGTGGGACGCCGCCGAAAATCAAGCACGGGCGAAATAAATATATGAAGAAGAAAAGCATCACAAAAGGAGCAGCCAGAGCGTCGTCGTTGCCTTTTACGAGCGTCACATACGCGAATAATGAGGTGGCGTATCGCATAAAATCAAAATTCTCCACTCCTTGTAAACATGGATGGCACATATAAAAGAGCAGAGAGAGAAAAAAATATAAAATCTTGGCATATGCAGCCAAGTTTATAATATTATTGGGCTGGTTATTGTGCCAAGAGAATAAATAGGCGAGTGTGTGTGCAATCAAAAAATTGAAATGAGCTGCCGGATTGCGCCATAAAGATCATTTTTATCCTCCGACGAGCAACGAGTTTCTTTTTATTCTGTCCTATCGCGACGACGGATCTGCTGAAAAAGCAGCGCAGAGAGAAATAAGCTCGGCGGTCCTCGTCTTGCATTTTCATGCTTGATTGCTGCTGATTTATTTGTTTTGATCCGGGCACGATTTTGCGCGAGCATCGATCGCAACAGCGTCTTTGGCTTATGACAAAAAGTTACGACAGAGAAAAAAAAGACAATTGATGTAATTCATTTTGCTAAAGGAAATTTGCCGACTCAAAAATGCTTTGTCAAACTAATATATTTCAAATTATTTCAAATGACCGCATTTACTACTTCTTTCACTTATGATTTAATATTAGGGTAAATTTCTGGTCATCATACTGGATTTCATGAGAAGAGTTGGTTAACCCTCAATGTCTAATTTACGGATTGTTTACCATAAAATAAATATATAAAACAATGAACATATGTTGTATATTCTCTAATATAATATATACAAAGAAATCGTTGTTTTATTTTGGTTTTGTTATTTTTATAAATTTTTTTTAAAATAAATAAAAAAATTTACTATTACAATATTGAAAATATTATTTTATAATAATATGACATTTTAAGCATAATTATTATTAATAGTTTTTTTTTATTTAATTTTATGCAAAAAAAGTAAAACGTATATATTCACTGATTATGTCAACTTACTTTTGTAGGTGCTACAGATGGTGTCCGTAGTACTGCGCGGGGTAGTGGTACTCGTTGTGGAACGCGGGGTCGCCCGGCGCCCGATGCATCATCTGCGCCGCCTGTCCGTCCATCATGTAGCCCATGCTGGCGTCAGGACTGTACGCCCCGCTAGGACCTGCGTGCGGCGAGAAAACTGCGTCAACGGGGTCAGATCCCTGTCCTCGCAATGCCCGACTAACTTTCCCCGGGCCCAAAATAATTCCTTTCATGCGAGAGCAAATTCAAGTTTCAAAATACTGAGTTCAATTCTATATTAAAACCATTACAATTAAAAGATAAAATCTTTGGAAAAATTTAGATTTATTTTGGGCCGACCCACCCCATGGGTTTATTAAATTCAGAATGAAAGGAAACTTACTGACTAACATGCATTAATATTCGTTTGAAAATCCCACCCTTTGAGAGGTCAGAACAATTTTGATCTCTTTGATTTTTTATTTATTTGATCTGGCAAAAGAATTAGAAGGCTTTAATTAATTGCAAATTATTTGAATCACTGCGATTTATATTAATTAAAATTTCATTTCAATTATGAAAATCAAATACTTTTTAATGTTATAGAAGTAAATGACCCTCTTTCCGTAACTTTTAACAACAAATTTGAAAGACTACTTTAACCCTTTCCTTCAAGATTTAAATTTTCTTAACATTCCAAAATAAAAGGTTTGCAGAAAACGAGATCAAAAATTTCCTTCCTCTCTCTGACAAATTGAAAAATAAAAGCAAAGGTAAGGGAGGGAGCGCGTCAGGGGCTGCAAAGTGCCAATTCGGGCCGAGTTGAGTGGCGCGGCTGATTATTTTAAAAGATGGCAAAGCGCGTCTCAGAGCCGCTTATCGGCGGCATAAATAACAGCCGCGGGCGACGCAATTAAGGGGTTTATCTCCGGCGGCGGCGGCACCACCGAGTGAATGAAGCAAAGAAGGGGCTGTTCGCTCTCTCTCTTCGGATTGCACCTCGCATCAGATAAGAAACCGAGTAAGCAAGATTTCGCTCGGGGTTTATTGCCGCTTCCGCTGCGGGTCACGCGTGTGTTCGAAATATGACGGGGGCACGAAAGGGGAAAAGCAAAAACACGAGAGAGTCCATTTCGGGAATTGCTGACTGCAAATCCGCACCACCACCGGCGGCAGCGGCATTAGTGCTGCTGCTGCTGCTGCAGTGGTAGCGAGCGCGGCCAGAGCAGTAGCCCTGGCTTGATATATATTTTTGTGCGCGCCGGACGCACACACACGGGCTTAGTGCAGAAAAAGAGAGCGAGAGCGGCCCACCATTACAAATTGACGGCTCTGATGGATGGCGTTTTACTGGGGGAGACTTTTTTTAAGTACAGAGCCAGCGAGGGTGGAGCAGCCAGGCAGAGCTGGCTGGGGAGAAAAATAATTCCGCCGCTGCTTTTATACGCGCTATCTGCTGCGGACCACGCATGGAAATTCGAGCATAAAATATCTCAGGGAGGGGCTTTTTCCGCCACGGCACTTTGCGGCCCTCAGGGTTGATTTTTTTTACTCTAAAATAAATGAAATAATATATATACAATACAAAAGGACAGAAAGAAAATGCACACAAGAGAAAACAAACTCGCAGAGCTTTCCGCGGAAATTTGTGCGAAAATTCCATGCAATTTCAGGCGAAAAACTCCGGTTTGGTTTTGGAAAGGAAATAGAGGAAGAGATTAGAGTGTGTTGTGGATCACCATCGCAAGGCGCCGTCCTCAGTCCACACACTGACGGCTCTAACCGACCATGTTTCGACTTGTATTCACTCAAATTTCGAGTGGCCGAAATGGCGCGAAAGAACCAAAACGAAACTACTTTTCATACTTTTTTTGTTTTTGTTTTCAATCAAAAATTCCAAACCAGGGCAGGCACATTTTCGGCCTGCCGACCGGTTGTTTAACTTTTAGCTTTTGGAAAAACTCAAAGGCAAACCAATGAATGTCAAATCTACTCGAAAAACAGGGATGCAGAGTGAACTTCGAAAACCCTGACTTACCCGCTCGGTTAGATTGGTCTATCATGGGCTGAACGATTCGGCGCCTCGCATTGATGAACCTTCAGAGAGAAGACAGAGAAGAGAGAGAAACAAGGGTTAGAAATGTTGCACGTCTCAGGCTGACTTACCACTAGCACCTGCTCTATTTGATTGGTCTATCAAAGGTTGGACGATTCGTCGTCTCGCATTGATAAACCTGGGGAGGCATAACAAAATGCTCTTGCTTAAAAATCGGGCCGGAAAAAAGTCCAGAGCCGAGTTTCAGACTCGACTCTGATTGGAAAAAAATTATTTTGCTACAAAACTGATTTTGCATTGAAAAATAGTAAAAATATTTCAACGAAAATCTGCTTTGGGGGCCAAATTTTTTTTTAATAAAATATCTGGAGAGTTTGGAGCAGGATTTTATACAAATATATAAATCTCACTTAACGAAATGAAAACATACCGCCGAAGGCCACTCACAGTCAGGTCCTGAAAAGCATTTTAAAAACACACATTCATTCACTCACTCAAGGATTCACTCTCTTTCAGAATGACAATCGCGACCGAAACTCTTTTTGGCGCGAGATCAAAGAGTTGTGCGCTGGATAGCGACACTCGCACGCGGAGATTTTTATTTTATTTCTCTCATCAAAAAAAAAAAAAAAAAAAAAAAACACCCACGGCAGCTGGCGACGCCCATAAATAACCGTAATGAAATGCACTTTATTAAATTTACAACCGTGTCAGCTGTTTTCAGTAATTATCAACGCGCTCAAAGGTCGCGAGAGGGTGGCGCCGCGGCAAGGGGTGCAGTCAGCTGCGAGTGACAGACAGACCTGCACCCCCTCGACCGGCCGACCCACCCACCCGATCGTTTCTTCTTTTGGCAGGGTGAATGAACTGGGCACAAAAACAACGCGGCCGGGCACTCGAGCGGAAGCTGAAGTGACGAGGATGCGGAGCGACGCGGATATTGTGCGCCTCTTTCTTGGCGCTTCTCATCCTCCGCACGTCATCTTGCATCAGCTCGCATGTCGACGCTAATCAAATTTGCCACTGGAAGCGATTGGGTTTTCACCTGATTTGTGCCGAGTGAGCACCAAGAGAATTCCGCAGGTCACTTTTTTGCAGCGTGGGAAGGAAATGAAGAGATGGAAACCCAAAAAGTGCACAATTATTTTTTGCTGAAAAGGGTTTCAACATGTTGTGCGGGCATAGAAAATTTTGTTGACACTTTTTATAAACAAATTTTTTTAACTGGATTTTATATAAAAAGAGATTTCATAGAATATTAGATCAATTAATTTGATATTGGAACTTTGAGTAAATAATTAAATATATAAATTATTTTACCAAAAGTAATTAAATACTTCGAATCCAAATTTATTGATTTGGATTATCATTTTATTTTTATACTTTCAAGGCTCAATATTCGAATGAGTTGCGATGAAAGTTTTCTCCACAGTCGCTTCAACGGGAGGGAAAATTAACGGCCCTCGCGAAGATCAGGAATATTATTATGATTTCGTAATAAAAATTGGCACCGGCACGTCGCCGTTTTGGAGCCGGGAGAGAAAAAGATTCCCCCGCTGGTGAGAATACGGCGTCTGCTCTCTTTTATTCATCATCGGCGCAGCAGTTTTACGAGTTCCCTTATGACCCATTTCATCTATCAACAGGCGCGAGCCCTAAAAAAAGTAATATTCATAAAAATGATGCCGAGATTGAGTACAAAATTGCTTCTTATGGTTTATACAAAACGAGGGAGCGTGATGAGTTTGCATTTCGTGTATAAAAAGCTGCACCTTCAAGGGTAGCTCTATCTGCCGGCCGAAAAAGCCTCGAAGCCATCGCGTGTTTGAAACAATGAGTGGGTGTGGCGCAAAATGCAGCAAGAAAAAAAAGTAAGGGGGATGGAAAAATACACGCAGCGGTAATGAGAGGGGCGAGAGCGTGCCGTGTGTATATTTTAATATTTTTCGGGAACAAATAGAGGCGAGCACGCCCATACATGCCGAGCGAGTGTCACACGGAATGACTTAATTAGAATGATCGAGATGGGGTTGATAAGGCCCTGATGGGCGTCACTCAAGGCCCTGTCGACACCTGGTGATGAATAGAGCCAACGGATTACAGCATTGTTCGACAACACCTTTGACGGCAATTATTTTTCAACTCGTCCATACCGTCAAGCATCGCAGGGCGGGTCTCTTGAATTTGTATTGTGTTTGTCAAAGCCGGCGATTACATGACAGCGATTTTTAATTGTCAAAAGGTGCCACTTTTTTAACACTCAATTGTGTAAACACGAAAACTTAAATTGAATAGATATATTACAAATCAACTCACTTTTAACTTATTTTTATAAGATAGTTAAAAAATTATTTCATTGGTCTAAAAGAAATTTACCATTAATATTTAAATAAAAAGTTAAATCTTTTTCGATTAATATCTAATATTTTTCATTTTTAATTATTACATTTTTTTTCATACTATTTTGTTACATTAATGTTACTGTGTTGTTAAAAAAAATTATAATTCTTGTGTCACTTGACAACATCCAACAAAATGTACTTGTCAACACAAAATGGAAAGTGTTTTAGTGTTCCAAGGCCTCCAGTTCAGTTATATTTAATTTTGTTATATTTTTAATCCTACTTGATTCTTATAATGTCATTATAATTTATTACATTATGAGGAATTGAAACCAAACTATAACGTGGTTGGAAATTAAAAATTCCATAAAGTCAATCAGGAAATTTAAAAAATTTCACGTTTCTTGACATAAAAGTTTCATCTGTGGTAAAATCCGGACTTTGTCTTTGGAGAAAAATCGATGATTCGGCTCCGCTCTACGACGTTACGGGCAGTTTCTTAATAGAACAGGAACTGGTTGGTCTCGGCGGTTGAGCGGAATAAGAATAAGAGAGCGTCTTTTACTTCTTTTCTCGGGTGCTGGGAGCCGCAAAAAGAACACGGGGCTTGCACTGACGCGAACTGGAAAATGGCAATTCCCCTCTACACGGAACGACCCTTGGCCATAATTTGTGCTTCTCTGCGTGGTCATTCAAGTGGCAGATATGGGCCATACAGGGAGCCATAAGATGAAGAAATTCACCGGGGGATGGCAATGCCAGTGAAACGGAACATCCCCCGCTCTCTTGCTTGCTCTCTCTGCCGAAACCGCAACGGATATTATACGGAATATTTCCATGCAGGTCTGCCGGCAGCGCGTAAATCACCCCGCCGAGTGGCGCTGGGTGCGAAACACAATAATTCACAGCTGTTGCCGAGTGTGTGTGTCACGGGTCAGACTCATCAAGAAGGTGCCGCGCCAGATTGTCGATTATGAAGTTGCGCGAAAATCTCATATCACACCCCTCCGCCAGTTAAAACAACTGCTCGTTTCGTTGCAACGGACTAAATTATTTTTTAATTATCTACAGCGTAAATTCCCCGGCACACATAATTACGGCAGCTGCGAATTTTTAATTAAATTTCGCCCGACATTAATATTCCCGGCGCAGGAAAGAGAGAAAAATGTTTGATTTACGCGACAGTTTTAAATAATTTAATTCGCAATTAACCTCTGGAGAGTTTGTTGGCGCGACGCTAAATTCGATTTTCCCGGCGGCGTTTGTTTTTCATTAGTCCCAAACGGAATTAATCTGGAATGCGTTATACACGTATAAATTGGTCGTCCATCACAAAGGGGTGCATGCCTAATTCGGCGGCCATGATTACAGTTATTACAACGAGAATGAGTTGTACTTGTTTTATTATTAGGAACGACCCTTTTTGCCACGTTTCCTGTACAATTTCCTGGCGATCATCAAATCCTTTAAGTCATTCACCCCCTTCGTCCCTAATGAATAGGGGTGGCAATAGAAAAATATTATTAGAGCGCCGGGAGAGAAAGAGGGAAAGGGTTGGCGATATTGAGTTGTGTTTGACCCTACGGTGTTACGTTACTAATGCGATTTTCGAGTCTCTCGCTCTCTCCCGCAGGCCGTGTTTGTAATCCAAGGCAGTCAGTCGAGTGAGAGGCTAAACAAATTGCAACGTGCGCGCCGCACGATCGTCATTAGCCCGCCAGGATTAGCGCTGTCGCACAATTAACCATTTTAAAACTAAACCCCCTCTTCGCTCTCTTTACCGAATTACTTTTTCCTTCGCCCACTGCGGCGCTCGCTTTTTTGTCGGAATAATTTTGCATTTCAAATTCGTCGGCGCTGGATTTTCACGCAGCCTCCTCCTTCTTCTGCTATTTTCGGCGCTCAACTATAAGGGATGAAAAGGAATAGGTTTACGCATCACTAAACATCCGTTTCCTCGCTCGCTCCGCTTCACGCTCTCTCCGTTATTTTTAGTGCTCGCGTATCAAACAAACCTCAAAACGTAGCACGCCTTGCTGTTAACAAACTTAGTCAAGGCACCCCGAAACACAAGAGAACAGAAATTGATTAATTTGATGCAAGTCTTGTTTTCGTCTATTTTAATTAATTTTCAACTGCTAAAAAATGAAGAAGTTCTTAAAAATTTATTAATTTTATTTTAAATAATTAACCTTTTGAATCGAGAAAAGAAATTAAAAGGTCAGTTTTCTTTCTGTTTTATTTTATAATATAAGAATTTTTCTTACTTAGGAACAGAAAACGTTATTTTATCTCTATAGATATATTTTAAAAATAGCTATACTTTTCTCATTTTTCTTTTCCTATTTCCGATAACAGGAGCTCTCACTGAGTTATTTCCACTCTCCATTTGCCGAAAAGACCGCTTTAAGCCCACGAGGGCCTGAGCTGGAGTTCCGGAAACTTCACGTGCGAGTGAATCCGTGACAGAAAATCAATCCCCCGGGGCGAAAATCGATTGGCCCACGAGGGAACAGCGCCAGAGCACCAACTCAATTTCGGCCGAGATGACCCCGGGATTCCTCTTAATCCTGCGAACGGGAACGTAATAAGAGCAGTAATGAGATGGCGAAAATTTAGGCGACCGGCTTGGACGAGGTGCGGCGCAGGTTGCCTACCGCCCGAGACGTCCAGGCGCTCGCTGCCAGGGAGAGAGAGAAAGAAAGAAAGAAAGCAGGCAGGCTCGCTTGCTGGCTACATGGGGCAATTTCATTGAGCTGCCTTTTCATATCACGTGGTACATTCATCACTCTCTTTACAGAGGAACCCATCTGGTAGCGACAGCGAGCGTACTTTG